ACTTTGTTTTTTCTTTTTCTTTTTTTTTTTTTTTTTTCTGCTATAGGGTGCGTGCGCTTGCCAGACAGAAAGAGAAAGACAGAGAGACAGAAAGCGAGAAATCACCTCCCAGGGGGGTTGGCCACGCCGCAATCCCTTCTCCTCCATTCTCCTCTCGGTATCTTGGGCAGACACACACAATGGCGGAAGTTTTAAGTCACCGGGTCCCTGATACGAACCGCAGTGTACTACATGGGAGTCCAGCGACATAGCCATTACACTAACTGCTGGTCCCTGTACTTTGTTTTTTCCAGAATGCTACTGATTTTTTTCATAAGCCAGATGATGTAATGTGTGATAATGTTACTGGGAACTGTATGATAGTCTTAATAGTGTTTGGGTTGTTATCACAATATCAATTCCTTTGGTTTAAAGGAGTATTGGTTGTATCCTTAATCAGAGAAGGCACACACATGTAATGTCTTACATTTATCAAATACAGTAAAAGTTTATTTAGGAAATTCACAGGAAATATATTGGCAATGAAACTCAAGAGTTTATAGAACAATGTAAACAAGATACTGTGGCACACCTAAGAAAAATAGGCTTCTGTATAAGTAGATTTTAATATTCTTGGCAATGAATGGCTTCCATCCAAATGCTATCATTCAAAGTTTCATTCATTTTGATAAGACAATTGCCCCTAATTGGAAAAGGCTTATCAAAAACAAATATAAATCAGGCTGTGAGTTTATTTGTTTGGTATTTCTAATATGGCCAAAAGCTGGAAAGAGTTGTGTTTGGAAAGAAAATGGATCTCTGGGTACATAGAAACAAAAGATAAAGGATAGAAAAGAGTACTAAATTGCAAATATAAACTTTGTAAGAGTTTTGGGAAGGGTAACCTTTTAAGACCCATTAGAAAAAAGAAAGAATACAATCACACTGAAGTACCTTGGAGATAAGCTTCTGCCCTGTGCTACCTTCAGAAAGCAATTGGACACATGCCCACTATCAAATATACATAAATATAATATATAATATATAATCACATAGCATACACCATAAAATTTCAATATGGAACTTTAAACAGTGTACCTCTCTACTTCTAGATTCCTTTTCTTCATTTTTTTAAGATTTTTTTTTATTTTATTAGATTATTATTCGTCAATTTGACCAGAGAAAGACAGAGAAAGAGAGAGAGGGAGAGTGAGAAAGCAAGTTGCCAAGTTCAGTACTTGAATAATGGTCAGTCAAGGTTAAAGCAATCCTGTGCTTTAACCACCGTGCCACCTGCTGGCCCCAAGATTCTTTTTCTTTTGGAGATGTTCGATGTAAACCCAAGTTGAATAAGCTATTATACTCTATTGTGTTTTTAAGAAACAAAAATGCTGATTTCATCAGATCATTGGGTAGTTTCCTAAATAAAAAACAGAAAAAATCCTAAACTACAAAATACTGTCATCCATTGATTGTTATGTAATTATATTTTTATAGTTCTCCCCACATTGTCATTAAAAATGGGATGCATTTTAAAATTGTTAAAAATAGATGGTCAGGGCCATTATGTCACTAGATTCCCACATAGTCAACCTTGGTTCGAGTCACGGACCCGGTGCCTTAAAACACATGCCAGACACATGTGCATACATGCCCAAAATCTCAAGAGGAGAATGGAGGAGAAGGGATTGCAGTGTGGTCAGAACCCTTGGAGGGTGATTTCTCGTTTTCTGTCTCGCTGTCCCTCTCTGTCTCTGGCAAGCATATGCACCCTATAACAAAAATCTTTTAAAAAAAATAACAGGGAGTGAGGGCCAGCAGGTGGCATGGTGATTAAGGCACTGAACTCCCAGATGGTCAACCATAGTTTGAGCCTTGGACCTGGCAGCTTGCTTTGTCACTTTCTCTCTCTCATGAGTGCACAAGCCCTATAGCAAATAAAGAATAATAATAATAAATAAAATAAATAATTCTTTTAAAAAAAGTGGTCATTCCATTAAAAAGTCACAATCAAATGCAATATAAGCTCATTCTTATTCAGTGTTAAATTTAGTTTCTTTCAGGTATATTTTTGGAATTCCTCCCCTGATCCTTGTTCTGTTGCCAGGAGCATCATCAGATTGTGATATTGACGGTAAAAGTGACAAAGTCTTTGGAAATATTCTCATGGTCAGCTTCAATGCATTGGTATGTGCTTGTTTGTTTTCCTCACATTTTCACTCATTGGGAAAATCTGAAATATATTTTTGGTACACAGTTTTATAATTAAGTTTTCTCTTGACAAGAAAGTGACGTAACTACAGAATAAAGTGTAATCAGTTACTAACTTCACATTTTTTTTAGTTCTTTTTCTTTCTTTCTATTTATTTGTTTGTTTATTTTACATCTATTCACTGAACATCATCACAGCATACAAGATGTGATTTCCCATCCACTGTATAGTGACTTAATCATACATATTATCATCAACAAATAATTTTCCATTTCTTGATATATATATATATATATTCCCCACTTCTCACCCTGTGCCATTTCCCACCCTCCTCCCACACTGCCTTTGGTATCTACAGTTGCTTTCCATTCCTTCCCCCTCACACACATTTTATTGATTCACAAAATATCTTAATTAATCTAACTACTTTCAGTAGCAAGTTCAGCTGAACACATGTTTGACTTTACGCATAAAACTCTGTGAGTAGAAAGCATATATTAGAAAGTAGTACCTACCTGAGACTATATAGCATAAAGTGGTCATTAAATAGGTACTTTTAGTATGTTTTTTAATTTCAAGAAAAGAAGTTTTAGCTTTAATAAATCAAAATAAAAAAATGTTAAGAGAACTTTACTTAAGACTTAAAGAGGAAACAGGTTAGATTCTGTTCAAATAGTAGGTACATGGGCCCGTCAATCATTTACTTAATCTTTCTTCTGTTATGTATGATCCAATCTTTCCATTTAAATTTTGAAAAATAACATTCAACTCTGCACTTGTCCCTACCATTAAGTTGGCCATTTTCTTAGTTGTTTTTGAACTCTTATTTCTGTGTGTGTCTGACTTTAGTTTTCCTGATATAGCACTACCTTCAGAACTTCTTAGAGAGCTGGTAAGGTGTTGGTAAATTCTTTCAGGTTTTGTTTATCTGAGAATGTTCTTGTCCTCTTTTCCCATATGAAGGATAATCTTGCCGGGTATAGTATTCTTGATTAAAATTGTTTTTCACTTAACACTTTGAATATGTTTTCCCATTCTTTCCTTCTCATATTGTTTCCAATGAGAGATCTGCTGTTAGCTTGATGGGATATCCTTTGTAGGTATCTTGACATGTCTCTCTTGCCAATCTTAGTATCTTGTCTTTGGCTGTGGTTTTGGTCAATCTGGCTATAATGTGTTTTGGAGAAGATCTTCTTGGGTTGATTTTATTTGTGGTTCTTTGTATTTCTTGGGTCTAGATCTTTGAATGCCTCTCTAGGTTTGGAACGTTTTCTTCCAGGATTTCATGGAATAGATTATCAATAACCTTATTAGTCTCTTCACCTTCTGGGATACCAATTATCCAGATATTGGGATGTTTAATGGTATCTAGTATTTGTCATATTTATTCTCATTTGGGGGGGAGCTATTTTGTCAGTCTTCATGGTGGATTGTTCTAGTCCAGTGATTCTGTTTCTACATCTGAGATTCTGTATGATCTTCTGTATGATCTGGTCTGCTTTTAATACATGCAAGGGAGGTTTTTGCTTCCTGTATTATAGCCTTTATCTCTGAACAGTTCCATTTGATTTTTTATGGTGTGTATTTCCTCTTTCAGATTATACAAGAACTTCCTCACCTCCCAGAATTTATTGGCTCTTTTCTTCTGCCTCTTCTTGAGTTCATTGTCTCTCTTCTCTTACATCTCTGTTAGCTTTGTCTCTACAAATGTTCTAAATTCTATATCAGACATTTCTGCAAGTTCTGTTGTACTGTCTGGATGAAGAGGAGTTATCCTTTTCCCTTGGATGAAAGGTATTTTCTTGGTTTCCCATATTTCTTGTGCCCCTGTGGTGATTTCTGGCCATATGATGGGTTATACATTTCTTCCTAATTTCTAGTTCAGTCTGAGCGTTCAGAGAGCTGCAGGAGGAGGTGACCTGCAGTCTCTTTGCCATTCTGTTTTTCTCCCTTTGGGCGGCAGAGTCAGTGGGAATTGAGGAATTTGCTGACTATAACAATATTTGGATGTTTGGCTATTGTTCAGTTAGATGTGTCTAGACATTCATTGTATGGAGACTGAGCAGCAAAGAGATGAAGGTTAAAAAAAATGATGAAGGTAAAAGAAAAAGCATAAGAAAATAGAGAAAATGCAAAAACAGAGAGAGAGAAAAGAGGAAAAAAGAAAATACAAAATAATTATTATTTTTTAAAGTAAAAAATGAAAACTGTGCAGTGCACACCGTGTGAAATCAATAGTTCTCAGCTCTAATGGCGGAGTATTCTTCTGAAGGCCTGCACTTTTGCCTCTCCTACACGGGAGAGAGAAAGGGAGATTATTAGCAAGATAAGGGAGGATCTGAGAGCCAAGAAAATACATTACTTTAAAAAATTTAAGAAAAGAAAAATTACTAACTATATATTTTATAATTGGTACAGTGTTGTCCTTTAGGAGTAGTTCTTTCTTTGGAGGCTTCAGGTGGCTTTGTGATTGAGGGTGCTGGACTCCCACATGGCCGACTATGGTTCGAGTCTCAGACCTGGTGGTTTGCTTTGCTTTCTCACTTTCGTTCTCTCTCTCTCTCTCTCTCTCTCTCTCTCTCTCTCTCTCTCTCTCCCTCTGTGGTCAACTTCTAATTAATTAATTAATCTAATTAAATAATTATTTAAAGAAAAAGAAAAGAAATAATTCTTTCCTAGACTCTAAGACTGCTATCATTTCACTTCAACATAAAATTTCTCACAAGCATAATTCAGCATCACTGCCTACACACTCACCTTTCATTTACTGTGTCAGTCCCTGTAGAAGCATACTTTACAGGAGGGAAAGTAATAGAGTATTATATTTTAAAATTATGATGAAGCCCAGTCATGATGGCTACCCTGATAAAATATTCTGCAGGTTGGACCACTTGGGAGCCCTGATTCAACCCCTGGTCCAACCTAAAGGCTGGATGTGGTGGCATATACCTGTAATCCCAGCCACTAGGGGAGGCTGAGGCAGGAGGATTGCAAGCTTGAGGCTGGACTGGGTGCCACAAGAAGACCCTGTCTGAAAGAGCTTGTGATGTCTCATGCCTGTGAACCCAGCTAATCTTTAAATGTCTTTAAAGATATGGTAAAAATAGATATATAGTTATTTTGTTTGAGTGTGTACACATGCAAATATTTGTGTATGTAAACTTTTATACATATGTTTAATACATAATTTGCTATGAGTCAATTTTTATCTGCTATGGGCAATGATATTTTTAGATTAATAATAGATTTCATATTTTAGAGGAAATTTATCTTTATAGAAAATTTGAACATAAATTGAGATTTTTCCATGTGCCCTCTCTCTTTGTGCACAATTTCCCCTATTATTATCATTTTGCATTAGTGTGATACATTTGTTATCAACCATTAATACCAACTGATGAGCTGGTATTAATGCATGATGATTCATTAAAGTCTACAGTTGACAGTGTGTACTCTGTGTTGTTCAGGTTGTGTGGCTTTTGACAAATGTATAACATTGTGTATCCATCCTTATAGCATCATATGTAATAGTTTTACTGCCCTAAAAATCCCCTATGTTCCACCAATTTATCCTTCCCTTCCCCTCCCTGGACTCTTGACACCCACAGACCTATTTATTGTCTCTGTAGTTTTGCCTTTTCTAGAATGTCACAAAGTTGGAATCATGCAGTATGTGGCCTTTTTAGACGAGAGTCTTAACTTAGCAATGTTCGTTAAATTTTCCTCTATGATTTTCTATAGCTCAATAGATATTTTTAAAAATTGTTGAATAATATTTCATGGAATGGATATTCCACAGTTTCTCTCTTCACTTATTGAAAGGTGTGTTTCGGTTGCTTCACATTTTTTGCAAGTATGATTAAAGCCTCTATAAACTGGCATGGCCAGTGTTTTATGTTGACAGAACTCATTTGTGTAAGAGCCCATAAACACATTTGTTGGATCATATAAGACTACGTTTAGCTTTATATAAAACTTCCAAACTATCTTCCAAAGTGGTCTGTATCAGTCTGCATTCTTACCAGCAATGAAAGAGCTCCTAATGCTTCTAACCCTTGCCAGCATTTGGTGTTGGATTTTGGATTTCAGCTATTCTAATAGGTATGTTGGGAGTATATCATTGTTGTTTTAATAATATATTGAACATCTTTTCTAATAGGTATTGCCATCTTTATATCTTCTCTAGTAAGGTGTCTGAACCACATTTTAATTTACATCTTAACAACTCTGAGTCTTGCTATCTGTAATCATGTACTTTCTCAATTTATTTAGATTTTTAAAATTTATTTCATTAGAATTTTGTACTTTTTCTCATATAGCTCTGCACATAATGTTATTTATTCCTAAACATTTCATATTTTAGCACTGTTATAAATGATGTTATAATTTTAATTTCAAATTCCAATTATGTGTTACTAGCATATAATAAAGCATTTTTTGTGTATTAACCTATATCCTGCAACCTTAGTATTATATAATCATTGTTTAGTTCCAAATTCTTTTCTTATCTTTGATTCTTTGACAATCTATTGGGTCATTGGAAAAGTCATCACATATTTTTCTGCTTTCCTATTAAAAATGAGTTATGACTTCCGATGACATAATACATCAAAAATAATTTAATCTATGAGTTAATTATTTTAAAATTTAAGAATTGTATCAATTTAATGTGATGTATTGATAAACAGATGGATCATTTTCAATAAGATCAAAGACTCAAATGTCAAAGGAAAACCCTCTCAAATGTCATTTTCAATAAGATCAAAGACTCAAATGTCAACCCTCTCAAATGTTCATCAGATAGAAAAAATTGCCCCGTCTTTCCTCTATATTGTGTTTTCCACATATTTACACTGGAGTGGCATAATGTCTTGAGAAATTGTTACACCTCCTGAAGGGATATGAAAAACTCAGTGTGATACTGAACACTACCACAGAGGCTTCTCATTTTACCACAGACAAGAAAAGAAAGTGT